TCAGTGTGCGGCATGTGGGGTGCAGGCTCCATGGGAGGCGCGCGGGACCCTCGGTGTGCGGCGTGTTGGGTGCAGACTCCGTGGGCAGCGTGCGGGACCCTCGGTGTGTGGTGTGAGGGGTGCAGACTCCGTGGGCAGTGTGGGGGACCCTCAGTGTGCGGGACCCTCAGTGTGCGGCGTGTGGGGTGCAGGCTCCGTGGGCAGTGCGCGGGACCCTCAGTGTGCAGCATGTGAAAGGCAGCACCACTCAGTGGGACACTTGTGAGCTGGGACATTACCAGTGGTTGGAACCTGCCTCTGCCACCTTTCAACCATGAGGCCTGGGGAGTCACCTGGCATTTCTAACTTTCACACTCTAACCTGTGAAACACCACTTCCCAGAACTGCTGTTAGCATTCCATGAAATGCCATGTGGAGAAATGACCAATAAATGCCTTTTCTATTTGTGTTCTTGGATGTCAAAAGGAAATAATTTAACCCCTATTTTGGCGATAAAGGAAAAGACATCCATTGCAGGGCCACACAGATCTACGGCACGCACAGAATTACACCCATGGAGGACCAGTGGCTCTGACGGCACAGATGGGTCAGTGCTGGGCACAGCAGTCGGGAGCCGCTGGCTCTCAGCCCGTGTGCCCTGGAGTGCTGCCTACGGTGTGGTCCCCGATGGGGTGTTCCCGTGAGATCCATCTTGGACATTTGCTATGTCCTGTTTGTTCAGCAACGGAAGTCAGCAAACTCCGGCCCATGGGCCAAACAGACTGGTCCTAAGTGGCCTGAAAGCTTCAGATGGTTTTGACCTTCTTAAAGAGTTGGTAAAACAAAAACAAACAAACCAAAAACAAAAACAAAAAAGAACTTTCACCAGGGACAAATGTGCCATCTAAGCCTGAAATACGGACTCTGGCCTTTCCCAGAAAATGTGTCAATGCCTGTTCTAGAATAAAGATCCTGCTCTCAGTGGCATGCGGAACATGCAGGTGGCATGCCACCCTCTCCAGGGAGACCTACAGGATGTCGATAAGCAGAGCTATCCCCATGCCCAGTCCTGCCTGTGTGGCCCCACAGGGCCCTGAAGAATGCCAACAGGCTCCCACCCAAGGCCAGGTCACTAAGTTATAAACTTAGCTATTACTCCCATAACGTTTTTTTTTAGAGACAGAGTCTCACTTTATTGTCCTCGGTAGAGTGCTGTGGCGCCACAACTTACAGCAACCTCCAACTCCTGGGCTTAGGTGATTCTCTTGCCCCAGTCTCCCAAGTAGCAGGGACTACAGACGCCCGCCACACGCCCAGCTTTTGTTTTGTTTTGTTTTGTTTTGCAATTTGGCCAGGGCCAGGTTCGAATCCACCACCCTAGGGCGCCCTACCCACTGAGCCACAGGCACCGCCTTCCTGTAAAGATTTTATTTGAATAAAATGCAGAGAACATGCTGAAATAGCTAAAGTTTGGAAAATTTGATAGTCTGGTTGCTTTCCCCTCACAATCCAGGAGGAGAAAAGTGAGGAAGGGGGATTGCTCCGGAAAGGCAAGTGCCAGTGTCATTAAGAGCGATGCTAACAATAACAGTTGCTGGGAGAATTGATGGCGTGACTTTGTAACACAACAGACCTTTACAGACAGCCTGTCTTTCCCAGTCTCATGTCCCCGGAGCAACAATATCCCAGCTTCCTTAGGATGCTGAGAACTCCCTCATGTGTGCACAGCAAGAAAAATCTGTGAGGTTTTGCTTTGCCCCAGAGAGGAACCCAGCACACGGCACAGTGTTTATTTTTATTCATTCATTAAACAAACAAACAAACAAACCCAAAAGACATACATTGTTTTTGAAAAGGAGCCAAGTACAGAAGAGAACAGAAATGTGACAGGAGCCTGGAGCAGGCCGTGAGAGGCTGCCTCTAGCACAGCGGGAGGCAGAGGCCCAACATCACCCACGTGAGTGGGCACAGACCCTGGGCCCCAGCCTCAGAACTGCAGGCAATACTCATTGTTCTTTTAGGTCAGATAAAATCTATCTCTAGCCTTTTGCCTGTGACTTGGTGGAGAATTCAGTTCTGGCTGTCATGGGCCCCTCCACCTGCACAGGATGAAAACAAAACTCAGGCTCAGATGCTGCCTGGAGGGTGTTGGTCTCTAGACAGCTGTCAGGACATCCCGTGGCCACTGACCACACAGTGCCCCAGACCAGCAGGGACCCTCTGCTTCCAGGGCCAGGACTGAGAAATGTGGGGGCCTGAGTGCCGCCCCCCAGGCTCACCATCCAGAAGAACATTCTGGGTCTTGTCTCGTCACAGAGTCAGGGCCCAGATTCTGGGCAAAGTAGCACCTCCAGACAGCCCCAGCAGAGGCAGCTTCTCTTCTGTCCTTGCTGGCAAAGGAGTTCTTGACAACATCTTTGTGTGGGTAAGCCTAAAGCCGTGGCAGAGCCCGGTGCCTATGGAGCCAGACTCTAGAGCATGACATGCAAGCTGGCCTCTCAGAAACTGACCCACAACCTCAGGGCCCTGCACACCTGCTCTGCTGGACCTGGAGTCCCAGTCCCTGCACATCTGCTCCACAGACCCTGGAGTCTGTGCACAGCATGTTGGGATGGCTAGGGAGGCTGAAGGCAGAGCCAGTGTGAGATGACACCTGTGGGTTGTGTGAAGGCTGTGGGGTGGGCAGGTGCAACGGCACCTGGGAAGTCCTAAGGTCAGACCACAAGGAGAGCAGAAGGGGAGTGCGGGCAGGAGGTGGCTTTGGGGGCAATATTGGACAGGCTGGAAGGATGCATGGGGTATGGTAGGGCATCCAGGCAGAGACAACGACAGGTGGGGGCAGGGCCTTCGAGGGGACACAGGAGAAATGCCGACAGCACAAGGCTGGGCTGCAAGCCCCAGGGGCTCCAAGGTCTGCCGCCCTGAGTCCTTGCTTCTCACACTTGCACGAGGGCCAGAAGGCTCTGGAAGACTGTGCAACCCCCTGGGCCTAAGCCCAGGCCCTAGCAGCTAAATTCTGTGGGCTGGGGTAGGGCTGAGGATGTGCATTTCTTTTTTTTTTTTTTTTTTTTTGAGACAGAGCCTCAAGCTGTCCCCCTGGGCAGAGTG